GCACAGAAATTTCTATTTTTAGTAACCACGGCAACACCATTCATCGAAATCAAAAACCGATACACAGAATTATGTATCGTAATGTAGTCTACTTGTTTGCCAAGTTATATTGAAATCAGACCAAAACTGTAGGAGGAGTAGCATTTTGAAAGAAATTTCACAGAAATTTCTATTTTTAGTTACCATGGCAACACCGTTTATCGAAATCAAAAACCGATACACAGAATTATGTATCTTAGTGTAATCTACTTGTGTGCCAAGTTATATTGAAATCAGACCACAACTGTAGGAGGAGTAGCATTTTGAAAGAATTTCAAAGAAATTTCTATTTTTAGTAACCATGGCAACACCGTTTATCGAAATCAAAAACCGATACACAGAATTATGTATCTTAGTGTAGTCTACTTGTGTGCCAAGTTATATTGAAATTAGACCAAAACTGTAGGAGGAGTAGCATTTTGAAAAATTGTTTACAGACAGACGGACAGACAGACGGACGGACGCCGGACGCATTACTATCGCATAAGCTCTTCTGGTCTCTGACCAGTAGAGCTAAAAACGACCGTTAATTTTTAAATTTTATTTTTAGAAAAGTGGATTATTCTGTTGAAAAAGTTTACCTGACTTGTGGATAAGGAAAAGTGATTGGATGTTTTATAGCTCTCATGTTCAAATATTTCTGGCATTGGTAATCCATGTTCGTTAGCAATTTCTCTTAATCCCATTAGATGACAGTCCATCCCGTGACCTAAAATAGTCTTCATACATCGACATATAATGGTTAGTTGAAGAATGTCAATCTTAATCTCAGAACAATGATGAGTATGCTATTATTTCTTACTTGTGTCATAATATCTGTTTGACATTGCATTGCCTTTCGAAGAAGCAAAATCTTTTCAATATCCTGTTAAGAAACCAAAGCACTTTATAGCACGAGACATTGTTACGCCCTATATATAAATCCCCTATCGGTGAAAAGGGAGGAAAGTACATGTTTCTTCATCGTTTGTCCGTCCGTCCATTTCTACACTTTTAACATTTTTCCACTTCTGGAGTAAGAAGCGGTCAATTTCAACCAGACTTTCCAAAAGCACGCACTCTTTTAGGGATAGATAATTTTCGATTCCTCTAAGAACCACTTGGTCAGAATAAATGTTTCAAACTACACGTAACTACATTATACATAGTATTAAGAACGAGGGCGCTTTTGATTGGCCTTCGGCAGGAATCTGGGCGTAATAGAAAAGTGAAAATTTTATCGACATGTCACATGAAATTTTAACATTTTTTTATTTATCGGGTCACTGTGCAACAGGACAGGAAAATATTTTCCCGAAATTTAGCTTTAATTTGCTAAAAAATAACTTGAAAAATGGCCAGATCAGACATCTGGTACAAAATGGTTCTTTTTTAAACACGTTTTTCTAAAAGTTTTCTATCTCTGGGTCTTCTCTCCATGATTTTTAAACATTATTTGTGTGTATTTTAATTCAAAGAAACGGATACACATTTTTAAAAAATGGAGAGAAGACCCAGAGACCACGAAAAATGAACTATTCCCCCCAAAAAATCCAAATGCGTGAATGTGGTGCTTCTTTGTCCTTTTAAAATCACTTGTATATGTGTAGCGGTGATAGCTCAGTATGTTGGGATACCTGTTCAGTGCACTCGAAGCGAAAAGTTTTTGGTTCGAGCCTTACATGGGGCGTTAATTTTTTTTTCATGTAAAAAAACATTTATTTTGTCAGTTTCGTTTTATGTACTGATGTATTAAAATTTTGAATTAGATAAATTTTGGTTCAGTTTGGTTCTCGAGCGAAATCAATTCCAATCTTCTACTCTCTAATGTATATGTACACGTACATGTATCATGCATCTATGCATTAAATATTTAGGTGTTTGTTTTTTGTGAAACATTACTATTTACTACATGTATGTTATAGTACCCCCTAGGAAAAACGGACATTAATGTTGCAATCTGAAAAGGTCTTTCAAAATAAATGGAAAAAAAATTTGTTTGTAAAATCTGACCAGCTATGTTCAACAAACCCGATCATGGACATTTAAACCATAAATGTTTCGTACAAATGATTCCTGCAGATCACACGCCAAATGCGCCCATCTTCTTCAAGGTGTTTTAATGTTATTAAATTCCTAAAAATTAAGTCATTAACAGGAAATTTTAGTACAAGTAGTAAACAATACAAATTAAAAAGTTTCAGTTCTATTCTCCAAATTCTGGGAAGTACCGGGTAAATACTTTTTTGTGGGATTAAAAATGTTATATTCGGATTAAAGTAAACTGTTGCAATTTAGGGTTACTGTGCCGCTTTCTTACACATTACAATGAAATATTTTATTTTAATACGGATACATGTAGTCTGAGTAACTGCTCACTGTTTCTCCTTGAATTTATTTGTTTTTAATAGTCTAAGTCTAATCTATGTGCAAATTCCAATATTATATGGCAACGGGTTCTTACGTAACAACGCTTTTCTACGGAAGGATAACGTTCGTATGTTAATGAAAAACGAACGTTTGACCCTAAAATGCTAGCAAACTGTGTTCGCACTTTGGGTGCGTTAATCATTCTCCTGATGAGGACAACAACAGGGCCATAAGCATTATAAGAAATACATGTGAACTAATATGTGATTTTTTTTCAAATTTCAAGAATATTAGGATTATAAGAGACCAGTTGTGGGAAAAACATTTTGTTGCTCAAGTTCTTCACAATAATTCAAGGCATTATCTGTTGGAAATAAAACATATTCAAAGGAGAAAAAATTAGTTATTGCTCTGTTAAAGTAATGCTACCAGATTTTTTGTCAACTAGGCCTACATTTCGATGAAAATATTTGTCCATAATAAAAACCATCATGGCTAACGGTAGGACGAACGCCACCAGGAACCTCTTCATAAAATTATTAGTCTTAAATTAGAATTGAGCGATCTGTGACGGATATAAGATGATTACGGTTAAGTTTGAGCCCCGTTATTTGCCCTATAAAATGCTGTTTAGGGGATATTTATACCCCCCGCTTGAAAGTGGGAGGGTATATAGTAATCGGTATTTTTTTTATATATATTGTTGGGTATTTACCGTGGCTTCCGTTTCGCCGGTCATCGCTTGGACCCATTCCAAAGCAGCAGGAGTGTTTGCTCTAATATTGTCAACTCGTCCAAGTCGAAATCTTCTGACAGATGCACTCTCATATGTAGAAACAAACTTTCTATGTATTCTAAAGAAAAATTGTCAGTGAAATTTGCATGTTTTTGGCATTACTAAGTAATATATATATAATATATATCGTGTTTAAAAAGCGCTTACGTTTTAACAAGTGTTGCCTTTTTGTTTTATTTTAATATTGATTACCGGACACTGAGATATCTGTTTCATTTCTTTTGGAGATATATATATATATATATATATATATATATATATATATATATATATATATATATATATATATATATATATAGTGATATATCACTAAAATGACCAACGACATGAAGGCAAATAAGGATGGAAGACGGACATGACATGCTCTATGTACCCCCCCCCCCCCCCCCATATTCCTGTCGGCCCCTAAAAATTGAATTGAAATGAATTGCTTCGATTTTTAAGGTTTAGAACGAACTTTTCTTAAAAGTTGATCAGTGATATATCTCTAAGAAAAAACCTGCAATATTAGACTTTAATTAAAATTGGATGTTTGTCTTGTGTTCGTGTTAAATTGAGTTCCCTTACTTGTAATAAGTCAGTTGTAGAGCTAACTGTATAAAGGAATCTGGACTCATGTTCTGTGACTTAGGGAATTCTCTTCCAAATCGTTCGAATCTTAGAATATACAAGTCAAGGTCCTCTATCAATCTGAAAAAAAATCACTAATCATATCTAAAACTGGAACAAGCAATAATTGATGTTTTGCTAGCTTTTTCTGATATGATGGAGGATTGTTTTAATCTTATTGCTTTTGTATCAACAGCAAGGGGAAAAACAATCTTAGCACTGAATTTTGTACTTGCTTAACCATGATATACCTGACTTGGTTAACAGTTAACAAAAGAATCTGACCACCACCAAGTCATAATATCTTATGTTGTCTTTGAACATAATAATATAATCTTTTGACAGTCACCTGTTCATGTTTTCAGCGGCCTCTTCTATGTCGGTCCCAATGTCACTATTGATTTTCCACTGAAGACGTCGGGGCTGGGGTAATTCGCAAATAGACTGCATTCGAACCAATTTCCTTCCGAGTTCTTCCCTATAATATACATAATACCCAGTTCTACCAACAAAATAATGGATTCCTAATGCCTTAGTCACATTTCCCGGCCCGGTGGTCGTAGACCGGTGGTAATCCGTGGTGTGAGCGATGCCCCATCATCGGTCCACATCGCCCTAGTAGTCCTTAAAGTATCAGTCACATTATCCAGCGATGGGGTAAATGATGGGCAACCAATGCGTTTTTTGATAAAAATGACGTGGTTACAAAGGCCCAGCGATGCATTGCAAATCATAAAAAGATGTTCCAGGGTAATCAGCCGATGTATATTACATCGCTCATACATTGGTGAACATCGTTCGTACGTCGGTCGACTATGGGTCAATGTTTGTTCGAACATCGACTGATGCCTGTTGCCCACCACTCCCCTCCCCCAGATGACCTCAGATTCAAAGGATACTTGACGATGCTTAGCCACACATCGGCCAATCCTTGAAAGATGTGTTAATGATTGGTTGTCGATGAGGAGCGATGTGGGTCATCGGTGGAGACATCGCTGATTTATAACTACAAACTACAGCTTATTTTCTACCGATGACCCCCACCGATTCACCAAAAGGCCTTCGTCACCGTCCAATTACTATAGATGTCCGGCCGGCAACCACGCCATTTTTATAAATAACAAGAGGCCCACAGGCCTTATAGGTCACCTGAGTATTGTGCAACAACTTTTAAACAATTAAATTTGGTTCGTGTGTTTTAAACCAGAGGCCATGAAATTCGCAGTTCACAATTTTGAAAGAGGCACCATTGCTTATCATAATTATAGACTTAGCATGCTTACTCTGTTTACTAAATACCCAGAGGTAGATCAGAGTAACATTAAGAGCACTTCCACTTTATAACCAGATGTGCACCTCATCCAAAGAAACCACTGATCCTGGGGCCACATATTTCAAAATTTTGCAAATTTTATCATAAAATGGTTGATTAATACCAAAGAGCAGATTTCAAAGCATTAATTTATTTTCAGACTTTGTACCCCCCCCTCCCGCCTCACCCCCGATCCAGGGAGGGGGGGGGGGCTAAAAAATAACCATTTTGCTAGATGCACCTTTCTTCATCATAATTATTTATACTTGGATAATTGGCATAAAACCCAGGAGCAAAGGAAAGATTTTCAAAGAATTAACGTATTTCACTATATAATCAATAGAGCCCCGCCCTAACACCAGAACCCCTGACCCTGGGGCCATAAAAATAACCATTTTGGAACAGGCACTCTTGATCAACATAACTATTCCCTTACATAGTTTATTTAATACCCAGGAGCAAAGGAAAGATTTTTCAAAGAATTAATGTATTTTCACTATATAATCAATAGAGCCCCGCCCTAACACCAGAACCCCTGACTCTGGGGGCATAAAATTCACAATTTTGGAAGAGGCACTCTTGATCAACACAACTATTCACTTACATAGTTTATTTAATACCCAGAAGCAGAGAAGAAGATTTTCAAAGAATTAATGCATTTTCACTATATGATCAATAGAGCCCCACCCTAACACCAGAACCCCTGACCCTGGGGCCACAATATTCATAATTTTGGAAGAGGCACTCTTGCTCATCATAACTATGTACTTAGTTAGTTTATTTAATACCCAGAAGTAGAGAAGAAGATTTTCAAAGAATAAATGCATTTTCACTATGTAACCAATAGAGCCCCGCCCTAACACCAAAACCCCTGACCCTGAGGTCATAAAATTCACAATTTTGGAAGAGACACTCTTGTTCATCATAATTATGTCCCTGGTTAGTTTATTTAATACCCAGGAGCAGAGAAGAAATCATGCATTTTCACTATATAATCAATAGGGTCCCGCCCTAGCACTAGAACCCCTGACCCTGGGGCCATGAATTTCACAATTTTGGTAGAGGACTCAATGCTCATTACATTCATGCCAACAGTTTGCCTGCTTGATGTCCAGGAGTAAAGAAGATTTTTAAAGATTGCAATAATTTTAAAGGTTTTGGCCCCATCCCTCAGGCCCCAGGGGGGCGGGGACCATAAAATTCACAATTTTTGTTCCCTTTCACCCATAAATGCTTTGTGCCAAAATTGGTTGAAATCGGTTGTGCGGTTTCAGAGAAGAAGCTGAAAATGTTCAAATGTTAACACACGACACACAACGCACGACACACGACGCACGACGACGGACGAAAACGGATAGCAATAGGTCACCTGAGTTACTCAGGTGACCTAAAAAAAAAGCGCATCGGTTTCTCATCGTCGCTATCACTGGATGATGTTACTGATACTTATAAGTGTGCATTTAACTGAAATCATTAAAAAAGTTTTATTGTGATTTTTTAAATATATAATCTATACATAATGAATATTAATTTTTAACATTATTTGATATTATCAGAAATGTCAACTGCAAACATTCAAAGATCCTTAAATCTTCAATTATAAATTTAATTTACTAGTATATGTATTACAACATGGGCATTAAAGAGCGTGGAATAGCTCTGGAATGTGCCTTACGCCCAGCAAACACGTATTTTTTGGCCCTTGGGTGCTTCCCTTTTTACTTAAAATATGACAAGGTTTAGACCGTTTTACCACAACCTTGCTGTGTGCTCCTTGTCATGATCGGGATAACAGAAATCAGTGTGTAAATAATGGCTTAACGTATGAAAAACGTCAGTCAGCATTTGAATCAATGATAAATTGTATTTGCTGATACGAGGGACGTTCAATAAATAATGTCATCAGCTCGATGACAAACAACATAGAAAAAATATGTTTGACTTCTCTAATTATTGGATCTTTAATGAGTCGATAACAGTTTATGTGACCACTTTTCATCACATAATTCCATTGTGAGAAGCTGCAAAACAGGGGCTACTCGGGACACTGCATTTAAAATGAACAGTCAAGAATCAGTAAACTAGAGTGAAATTAAACGCTTCATTAAAGCTGCTGTAAAACTAATTAAGAATCCCAAAGATATATTAATTAAAATGTGTTTAATTTACTGCAATTAATGCCTGTTTTATACACACACGACCACGTGGATTTCAATAAACAAAAATGATATAATGGGCATCAAAAATGGGTACCGTCCTTGGCTGCAAGGACATACAACAACAAATGTATATTTGCAAAATTTCAACAAATTATCACTGAGTATGTTTGATTGACTTTAAGACACATAGCAAATTTGATAGACATCATTTTGGGGGTAGTTCATACTGTGTTAAAGAAACATTTGATAGTAAAAAAGTTTAATACTTAAAGGTCATCCAATATTTTGAAAAATGGGTGAAAACGACAGCGTGTAGGAATATCTAAACAATTATTTTAAAAAATAAAAAAAATGTGCTTATCCATGTTTGTCTGAAATTCAAAAAGATAATGAAACTTGAGACCATTTTGCTTTAAACCCTCAAAAGATACACTTGACAAAACAGAAAAGGGCTGAAAAGAGCAAAGAATTGGAAGAGCACAAAAACAGTTTTATATGGTATTTTCTTAAATATTAGTGGTCCTGTAGGTCAAATTCTTATTGGGAAAGTAAGTTCAATTTCTGGAAGAGTCTAGAAAGCAAAATGTTTGCAAAAAAGTGAAAGGTTTATGAGAGGAAGGAGCCAGAATTAGGAATTCACTACATTAAATTTCTTCATGACAGCGTCCAAACCCAAAGGCTATGAAGAGTAAAGGAGCTCCGGGGATAAAAAGGAAGTTAATGTTTTGTCACACCAACAATATTGGCCAGCACTTTCAACGTTTGACGTGTTTCATTTCCCAAACCTGTAAAGAACGCCTTTTAGAAAGAAAAAACAAGTACAGGAAAGCATAGGATCTGCCATATTCCAGTATACGAAGGGTCATACTCAAAAATGTGTTCTAAAAACAATTCGAAATTGAATAAAAATGTTGTGGACATGTGTTTTTACTCAAAGAGAATATTTTAGTTTAATCATTAGGACTAAATCATAGAAAAGCGTTTTTTGCTTCTTTCCGAGCCCGATGACATTATTTATTGAACGCCCCTCGTAAAGCCATTGTATAGACCACAGAACTTACGAAATGATGACTTTAAAGTGGACTGCTCATATTTTTTTCATCAACTTGTTTGTCAATCATTAACCTTGTTTTAGAAATGGTTCATACGTAGAGCATGCTCTTGTATATCAAATCAGCTGATAGGTATAAACCATAAACCCTATTTGCAGGTGATGAAGGTATATTGCTGCATAAGTAAGGGATGCTGACGATTAAAATGTTAAAGTCATTAGGTTCATCATAAATCTTGGTTGTTAGGTTTTGTTCAAGAAATATATCCAAATATGAAACAGATGTATCTTTTATCTCAGGCTCACCAGGATATATTGTATAGACATAAAAATAGAAATAACCATTCTTAAATAACAATACGTCGTCGATATATCTAAATGTCGAGTTGAGGGCCACAGTAAGTGTCTCTTTTTTTTTCACGCTTAAGATTTTGGACAAAATCAACTTCATACATGTATGCATTAAAAAATAGGTTTGCTAATTAAGGGGCGCAATTGGTTCAAATGGTAACTTCAATAATGTAGTCCTTTCCCTCCTTTTTTTTGGGGGGGGGGGGGGGGGGGTTACAACTCCTTAGGATCCCCGTAATGGTGCAAGTGCGGGAGTGATTCACTCCCGCACAGATTTCGGCTCAAAGTGTCAGTAAATGGCTATCTTATTAACATTTCCTGGACTCCCACATATAGTTCTGCAAGACATTAATCGATCGAAAAATATACTATACAATCCACATATTGGTTAGTTTTCATGAATGTCAACATCACAATTTGAATTTTATCCGCCATGTTTGTGGACTTTAATAGATTTTATTTTGGGACAGCCAATGGGAATTAAGAATCGACTTTGTATAGGAGCGGATCTTCGGGAATTCTCATATTTTAAGCCTAAATATCCCTTTTTACGAAAAAAAACCCACATGGAATGGTTATATTTATCGATGTTTAGTGATACTTTT